CGCCGCCGCCGCCGCCGCCGCCGCCGCCGCCGCCCTCGCGCCCGCCTATATAACCGGCGGGCGGCGCTGCGCTCTGCACTTGCGCTGCAGGACCAGCCCTCCCCGACGCCTCCGCTCCGCACGATGAAGATCCAGGTGAGTGCCCCCGCGCCGCCCGCGCCCACGCCCGCCGCCCGGCCAGGCGGGGTTCGCCCACGCGGTGATGTATCACGTGCCGCCGCTAATGTAATTGCCTTTCTCTTCGTGGATAGATGCACTTAGAGGCGTTGGCACAATTTTTCGTTCAATTCGTCGCTCATTCGTAAGTTCTCGTAACATGGCGTACGCAAAAGAAAGACATTGGGCATAAAACTGAAACCTTGAAATACCGTTTCAAGAGCAAGATCGAAATCGTTTCATTTTTTAATTCCATATTTTGCTGAAACTCTAACTGAAGAAATGGGTTTTAGTTCTTCTTTCGATGTTTTAAAGATTTTCAAAATCATGTACAAGTCTCATTTATGACTGCTTTTTAACGTTTATCAAGTGTCCCTAATCGATAATGTATTGTAATGTTTTATTCTATATCTCCTTCGAAGATTTTCTGTAGAAACTAAGTTAATGTTAGTTACGTTCTTTCAAACGATTTGGCTCAACCATAAGCAATCAATAAACTAATGGCGTTATAGAATGGCACAGACTTTCTCCTAGTAATGTTTTCTCATTTCCTTGGTGAGGGCTAGCTTTGCGGTCTTGCCCCCACCCTTTTACCAGATGTCATCAATAGCCACCCTTAAAATATTTTTTTTGGATATTTTTCCATTTCTTAATGGTAGTTTTGAAATATTACTTAAATAATATTACAGAAGAGAAAAACCGCGTCCCATATGGCAAATTTCATTAATAAATTGGAAGCTGTTTTTAAGGAAATGGCGTGTAAGCGTTAATGTAAATGAGAAATTTGAAGCTCTTTTTACCGGAATCTTTCGAGTTTTCGAAAAACTTCTTTTGAAGAACTTTTACTTACAAACATTTGGAACAGTTTTTGAGAAAATAGAGTTTGTGAGTTTGTGTCATTGCGGAATTTTAAGCTCGTTTTTGCAAGAATATTTTGAATTTTCAATAAAGTTTTATTAGACATAATTCAAAGCACATGTACTCGTAAATGCAATATTGTGGACAAACCGTCGCTAACGTAAATATTAACGACACGAGAGGCTTAAACAAATTACATTTTTGTATAAACAAAGAATCGAGTACTTTAAAATAAAAGGCAAAAAAATCAATTTGGCCTTAATGTCATCTCATAGCGTATATTTAGCACTATTCTTACCAAAAGTTTAAAGAAAATATTTGGAACCGTTTGCGAGAAAATCTTGTTTTTGTTATTGTTTAAAATTGTACATATTTCACGAAATACTGCACGAAAATATTAAATATTTCCAAAAATATACAGGACCTTATTGAAAGAACTAACTACGAAGAACAAAATTTATTTGAAGGAAAAATCTCTAACTTCGATTTTGTAGTTATAGGAAGGTCCCGAAAAGATTCAGACTTTTGCCATTTGTGTAAATTCAGAGTTTACAGTGAAAATCAGAACTATTCCTGCTTTATAAGTGTATTGACCTCTATATTTACAAGAAATTTAGAGGATAAATTTGGAGTCATTCTTGAGAAAAAATTGAAATATTGCAGGGGCTTCATATAAAGTACTCCAAAAATTAATCAATGTTTTTGAAAATCGCAAAGCTTTCACTCATTCCAGATAGACAGGGGTTTGTTGAGTTTGGAAAAAGTCGTACGCATAGTTTACGTTCTAGTGTTGTTAACGTACACCCAGACATAGACATACAGACGAACGGATGGACCTTTTGAAAAAACATTTTTGGATATCAGGGACTCCGAAATGTGTATTTACGTTGAAATTTCCAAATCGATTATCCGCACCATTACATAACTTTCTCTCTACTACGCATAATATTCTGTATATAGGAAGTACGTATACGGGGAAGTGAAAATATGTGTTTTAATATAATGGCAGAACATGCGTTGAGAATAAAAAATAGAATCCTAACCAAAACATTGTTATTAAATAAAAATCATATTTTATTAATAAAAATAGAAAAACGTTATCTGAAACGATTTGTTGCTTTCAAAGAACTTGTTGAAAACATTATCTAGTAATGATAATTGTATGCATAGAGACGCTAGAAACATGGACTAGAGTTTCCATTTCAGTTTCATATATTATTATTATTTGAAAAATATTTTCAACTACTGTTATTAAAACTATTTACTGATTTTTCTTCCGTAAATTTTAGAACACAATGAATATGTTCTCTTAAATGAAAATATTAAAACTTACTAAAGAATTGTTCATTTCTTACGATAATGAATATGCCATTTCATCAGTTCAATTTTACGATCAAATGGAACTATGTTTAAGAAATATAAGATTTTTTAAAAAATTATATGGAAGTTTTCGATAATAAATTAGTTTTAAATAATTAAAATGGGCATTCATTTCCTTTTTGGTTTAATTCACGAAACTCGAATATTCTACATATGACACCGTCGGAAAAATACCAAGCGTATACCAAAAATCACAGAAATTAACAAAACAAAGGGAAAATTACCGACTACTCGAAAGCTAATCTGTCAATTTATTATTGAGGGAATCATGTCCAAAATCACAACTAATATTTTACAAATCCAAGAAGATTTCAACTTATCCGATTTCAATCAATTGTATCAGAGGTTGAGCGGTGAACATAATTCGAAGAGTCATATCTAACGTACGCCATCAAACATTTAGAAATAAAATTTAATAAAGCGTCCGTTTGGAAACGTCCGTCAGGAGGGAATTCTGGAATCTCGCGTGCTTCCGACGTGGCCCGGCAAGGCCAATAGCGAGGCGTTATGCAACGCAGTTACATTGGTTACCTAGAGACCTCTTCCCCGAAGTACTTTCTCCGGGCGGCCAATAAACCCGGTCCTCAAAGGCGGACGAACCGCTGTGCGCGTCGGGTTGCCTACCCCGGACCCTCAGCCTCTCCTTTGCCGTTGCCGCAACGCGACGTCAAAAGTCTCGTCCGACATGTTTAGGACATATCTCCAGTAACAATCATTTAATTTTTTCTTGGTATATGAATGTTGGAGAAATGGTGTTCTTCTAAATAACAGAGTATTTGTTTCACAGTTGCTTTTATTTGGTCTCCTAATAGTTCAATTGTAATAATATATTTGTAAAGTTATTGAAGAATGATACATGTTTTCATATGAGAATTCTCTGTATAACAATTTAGAGCGGAGACTGAGAAAATATCGTTGACTGTTTCTAAAATCTGCCAAATTGACATACATAAAAATACTGAGATTTCCAAAAATTTCAAAGAACTTTTTCAGCAATAGTGCTTGTAAATTTGTCGGTGTGTGAAGACAAATGACTCCCAAGAAGTTTAAAAAGATATACATTAGGTAGTTTTTTGAACATCTTAATGAAAATGGAAAAAAATATCATTTAAATTAGTGCACCTGTACAAAAAGTTCTCGAAAAACATAGAACACATTTTTATTTTTTGGAAAATAACTTAAAGTCATTCGTCCCATAAGTGTAGTTCATGATTTCATCACGGGAGATGGTGGCAATCTTCGGCCGCTGGATGCGACATCTGGCGTCCACGTACGTCGGCTTGCGATGGTTTCCCCAACCAGGTATCTCTCACGAGCGAGTCACCTCCCGACGAGACTCTTGGCAAATACGGATATAACAGTACGTGCATAGCGACATGTGTAATAGTGTCAGTAAGAGGTGGGGATAGGACAGGGAAGGGGAAGGAAAGATAGCGCGCGGTGCGTGAACCTTTAAAAGGGTGCTGCTCTAGCATTCGCTTGGTGTTGATAGGAGAAAGCACGGAAAACTACCGACCAGTACAGACGGCCTCTAGAATTATCCTGCAGGCAGCGACTAAATTAGACCCATCTGACAAGCTAGTGTTTAAAATTTTGCCACCATCGTAACTCGAACTCTCGGACCTCCCAGTCAGAGGCCCTAGTGTAACATCAGTTAATTCCCTGACCACTTTTGCCGATTATATTTTATGCAAATTTACTATAATACTAATAATATTTAAAAACTGTTCATATAATTTTAAGACAAAAATTGAATAAAAGTGGAATTAAAAGCCAAATCTTCAATTTCAGTAATGAAGATGAAGGAGAGGGACGAAGGGAAAAAATTAACTTCATAAAAATAACTCTCTAAAATAAAATAGAGCAAAGTCTCAAGCTGAGTGCATCCTTCCGAGAATATCTATTTTGGAAACGAAGCTGATGTGGAGTTTAAGAAACAGTGGCCCAAAGACAAACAGAAAGGGGGTCAGACGTTTTACACTTAGTTACACGCTAAGAAAGTAAAATATAGTGTCCTTCTGAGAAAATTTTGTCTATATCCTTCAATAAAATGGACACAATTTAATTCAAATATACACCTTAAACATGAGTATTGTAGTTTACCGAAAGTACATTTTCTTTCGTGCCAACGGACGGGTAATTGATGTTTGGATAATATAACTTCGTTGATGAGACGTTCTCTGAGAGGGAAGTCCGAAAAGGAGCGAGCGCTCGTGGAGGCGCAGCAGAGCGGCGCGTGAGGCAGGGGGTGTGCTTGGCGCTGCGCAGGTGGTGTGCTTGGCGCTGCTGGCGGTGGCGGCCGCGAAGCCGCAGTACCGCGGGGCGCCGCCCGCCCCCGCCGCCGGGGAGCCCATCCCCATCCTGCGCCAGGACCAGGAGGTCAACTTCGACGGCTCCTACCGCTACAGGTAACCGCTCCCTCTCTCTCTCTCTC